TCACTTTCCTTGCCTGTTCCTCCTGCCGATCAGCCTTCTCATATCTACAACCCTCCCTCTCCCGATTCTTTTCCTCCTGCTTTTCCCACAGATTATGAGCCATTCGACGGAGTCGTCACTCATAGCGGCAGAGAGGTTCACACCCCTGCCCGTTATGTCTCGCACGTGGGATGCGATTTCGCTTACAACAAGCATCCTGCAGCGCCTGGAGGGGAGGGGGAGTATTGTAGGGACTAACTCTCCCTACAAATGCTCTGGCTACTCTTGCCATCCTCGTCATCAGCCAATCAGCGGCGCCGCTCGTACCGCGGCCTGCGACCTTGAGTAGGCAGGATTAGATAAATACCCCCAGAAATGGCTGCTAAGAATCAATGTCACGAACTGTAAGAGGCTGCACCTGGGACCTACCAACGGTAAGAAGACGTATCATATGTCCCAACTGGACGAAGAAACTGCATTAATTGAGATTGAATGTGAAAAGGACCTAGGTGTGTACGTTGACAATCAGCTGAAGTTCTCGGGCCATTGCGAGGGCCACCAGACTGGTGCCTGCACTGCGGCACCTCAGCTACCCTTAGAGATTAGAGCACCTGCAATTGCCTAGCTTATACTACAAACGGGCAAGGGGAGATCTAATTGAGGTGTACAAGCATCTCAAAGGGCACTACTTAGTCAAGTGCTCTTACCTAGAGATGCCGGATATTCACCCCATAAGGGGTCACAGCTCAAGGTTGAAGAAGCAGCAAGCCCAGAAAACTGTGAGGGGTAACTTTTTTGGAGTGAGAGTTGTGAACATGTGGAACAATCTGTCAGAGTATTGTGAAGGCACCGAACGTGAGCTCTTTCAAGACCAGACTGGATAAGCACTGGAGCAGGTTCAGATACATTCAGGAGCCAGTGCATGCCCAGTACTTGCCAACAGTGCGTAACAGAGACGTAACCGATCGCCTAAGCGGCTAACGAGCTGATTAGTGGTGATGAGGATAAAAGTAAAATTAAAAAAGGACTCACTGAAGAAGGCCAAGATGATATTTATACCAAAGGACGGGAAGGACATCAAAGTAATATTAAATTACAGACCCATTTCACTATAGTCGATGAAGGCTGACTTGGGTTTGTCTTGGTGTTTTCTTGTCCGCGAAAGGTGGTTCCCCTTTTGTAGCCGCCAGGTACCATTTGGCTGATTGGTAACCAGCGTTGAATGCGTGAAGGAAGCTCTTTTTGATGTGGAGCTTGCTAGTCTTTCTGAGGTGATTCTTGGTCTGTTGCACGCTTGCTGGAACTTGAATGTGTACGCTACTAGAACGTGTGGCTGCCTTGGCTGCTTCGTCTGCCACGTCGTTTCCCCCGATCCCTACATGACTGGGAATCCAGTGTAAGACGACTGGGCGGTTTTGTCTTTGGAATTCCTGTAGCTGTGCGAGGATCGAGGTTATGATGTGGACGTTGTCTCTTGGTTGACTGTGTTGCAGCGCCTGCATGGCCGATTTCGAGTCCGTGTGAATTATGATGGACTTGTGTTGTGTTGCAGCGTGTTGTAGGGCCTTTGAGATTGCTACCAACTCTGTTTGTAGGGTGGAGCAGTCATTAGAAAGTCTCCATCGGAGGGTCTGACCTTGGGTGTAGAAGGCCGCTCCGGATGTATGATGTTTTGGATCCACCGAGCCGTCTGTGAAGTATGATGCTGCATCAGCCGGTGTTTCGGTGGCTATGGCTTCTAGAGTTATTTTTTTGAGGTCCTCCTTCTGGAGGTTGGCTTTACTATCGCCTAGGTCGGTAATTTTGAATGTGGCTGGTGGAGGGCTCCATGGTGGAGGAACTACGTAACCATTGTCTCGTGTGTCTTGATTGTTCTTGACGAGTGTTTCTGCTTGCAGGTGTCGGATGACCTCGCTTGCCTCGTGCGACCAGGTGGCCCCTCGCACTCTGTGGTCGAGGTGGAGGGAGGCACTGATTCGCGTTTTGGCAGCTGTGGGCTTATCTGATCTACAGATTTTGGCGAGGAGACCGGCTGTCACCTGCTTGACTCGTACTGCCAGGGGTGGTAGTTCAGTTTCCATTTGCAAATTGCAAATTCTGGTCCACATGGGTGCTCCGAGCATGGTCCTGAGAGCATTATTTTGGATGACTTCTAGCTTAGCTATCTGGTCTTCTCTCAGTCCAATGAGCGCTGGAGCACTGTAATCTACCAGCGATCTGATGGCGGCCGTATAGTAGGCTTTGAGCACATGAAAGTTTGCTCCTGCGGTTGTGCTGGTGAGCTACCTCATTATATTGTGCCTGCTCTTCGTCCTGTGCCTGAGATACTCGAGTTGCGGCTTGAAAGTGAGTTTCTGGTCAAACCAGATTCCAAGACACTGGTGGGTGTTGGTCCAGACTATCGGCGTATTTTGTATGGAGAGCATCTTGTCTGGTGTGTCTGTGCAGATGGCCATCGCTTTCGACTTGGCTGGATTTATCTTCAGTCCAAGTCTATTGCACTCCTCTTCTATAAGTTGGTGTGCGTGTTGCGTGTTGGCTAGTCTGTTTGATCCTCTTACTATAAGCTGTAAGTTGTCTGCATAGCATAGGAGCTTGGCTGTTTGTCTCAAAGGAAGTTTGACAAGATTTTCCATCAGGACATTGAACAGCATTGGACTGAGGATGCCTCCTTGTGGGGTTCCGTTTTCAGGGACCCTGTAGCTTGAGGTTGCTCCCTGAAAGCGTACTCTTGCTTCTCTCTGTGTGAGGTAGTTCTGGATCCACCCCAGCAACCTTCCTTTGACGCCTTTTTCAGCGAGCGTCGTTATAATGGCCAGTGGATTTGCTAGTTCGAAGGCCTTCTCCAGGTCGAGGAAGACCACCAGAGCTGGTTTGTAGTCCACTGTGCTGAGTATCTCGGCGATGTTGTTGCCTGTGCCGGTGTTCTCGGTGTAAGCAAAAATGTGAGGGTGTGGGCTGCCTACTTTCCACTTGAGTCGGTTGAGAGCCATTTTTTCTCCCGTCTTCGCTGTGCAGCTGAGAAGGGAGATGGGTCTCGGTTTGTCTGGTTCTCTGGGCTTCGGAATGGGCTGTATATCTGCCTTCTTCTATTCCGGTGGAAGTCTTTGTGCTGTCCACGAAGCATTGATGACTTGTAGCAAAGCCTCGTGTCCGGCTTTTCCGGCATGGGAAAGCATGGAGTAGGTTATCCTGTCGGCCCCTGGTGCTGTGTCCTTGCTTCGTTTTAGCGACTTCTGGAGTTCTTGCTGGTTGAAAGGTCTGTCGGTGCCATCTTCACTGTTGCAGGTCTCTTCGATCATCTGGAGTCTGACCTGTCTCAGACGCCGTTGTGTCTCCTCCGCCTGTCTCGGGAGGTTTTTCGTTGCTGCTCGGTCGGAGAACAGTTTTGAAAGTCTCTCGGCTTCCTCTTCTGGGTTGGGATGGGTTGGTGGTGGTGGTGTTGCCTTTCCAGATGCCCTTTGGATCTGGGCCCACATCTTGCCAAGAGAGGTGTGCTCGTTCAGTTCGGAGCACCACTTGAGCCAGCTTACGTTTTTTATTTCTTCCTTCTCTTCCCTGGTATCCTTAACTATGACTTGCAGGAGATGTCTGTTTGTTTCTGTGGGATGTCTCCTGCAGTTTCTTCGGGCCATGTTCACTCTGTGTTTGAGTTCCTTCACCCTGGGACAGTAGTACCAGTAATCATTGTACTGTCTTGATGTAGGTTTTGTTTTTGGGATAGCCTCTTCTGCCGCTTGGTGAAACGCCTTGACCAATTGTTGGTGGAGGGTTATCTCGTCCACGGGTGCTGCTCCGGCCGGCTGTGATTTTTCGCGCCACTTAGCCAGGTGTTTCTTAAAGAGTCCCCAGTCTGCCTTTTGGGATTGTATCTCCATCTCGGCGGGGGTGGAGTGGGGAGTTTGTTGACCTTCAGTGTTGTTAGGGTGGCAAAGTGGTCGCTGGTCTGCGTGGGGTGTAGCTGCCAGGAGGCCGAAGGCTGTAGTGCACTGGAGACGATGGTTAGATCTAGCCTTCCTCCCCTAATGTGGGTGGGCTCTCCGGTGTTCAGGAGGCACTATCCTGCGTCATCTTCACACTCAGAAGCTCCCTGCAGAAGTTCGTCTCGCCCTCTCGGTATTGGACTACTCTACTACCTCGGCGACCTATGCAGCCACGGCACGCAGAGTGTTCCATGAATACACCGCTGTGCGCCATGCTGCTGCGAACAACTCAGTGGCCACACCATCACTTAGCTTCGGCCTCGTCAACCAGATCAACGCACCTCAGAGAAGTAGCATTCCACCAGACAAACAACACATGAGTGTCCTGCTACAGTCTCTACACCGCAGGATGGACACCCTCGAGCAGCTCTGTTCCTCCATGTCTGCTGCTGCTCCTGTTCATGCCACACACACTGTGTCCTACCAACCCCGACGTCTTCGTCCTGCCTCGGACACCGCCGCCAGCTCCCAGCACAGTGAACCTACCCTCTGCTGGTACCATGAACGCTTTGGTGCTAACGCTAGACGTTGTGAGGCCCCCTGAAACTACTCGGGAAATGGCATCTACGGGGATTGGTAGACTCCGTCACTTCAGGCGTCTCACTGCTGCATGTCACCGACCACATCCATGGACTCAGTCACCCACGTGTAATGGCTGCCCAGTGCCTAGCCTACCAGTCCTCTAAGATACATCGACCCACACGGTCTTCCTTAGAAACCTTCCATGTGCCCAAAGGACGCTTCCAGGTAGTGCACCTTGACATCATGGGACCTCTTCCATCATCCTGCTGTAACACCTACATCTTCACCTGCATTGACCGTCTCACCAGGTGGACAGAAGCCATTCCCATGCCTAATGCTACAGCAGAGTCAGCCGTCCGCGCCTTCCTGTCTGGTTGGGTTTCCTGTTTCGGTCCTCCCACGACTGTCATCACTGACCGAGGAGCCCAGTTAGGGTCACAACTCTGGCATAGTCTCCTGCAGTTCCTCGGCACTTCCAGACACTGCACTACTTCTTACCACCCTAAATCCAACGGCATGGTAGAACGGTTTCATCGTCAGCTGAAGGATGCCATCAAGGCACAGCCCGACCCCTGCAGCTGGATGGATGCTCTACCCTTAGTGCTCCTTGGCATCCATGCATCCCACAAAGAAGACATGGACTGCAGCCCAGCGGATCTCACCTTAGGCGAGCCCCTTCGCCTCCCCAGGAATTTCTCACTGACTCCTGACCCTTTCAGGTTCTTGCACGGTCAGCGAAGTTCCTGACGATCATTCACAATGGAAGAAACGACACCGTCAGCATCGATTGAGTGAAGCCGGCCACCTTACCCGATGGGCCCCCAGCCCAGAATTACCCCCAAGAAACCACGCCTGCACCAGTCTGCCCACAGTTGCCACTTGCAGCACCACCTTGTCCACAACAATTCTATGTGCCCTCCTTTCATTCTCAGGTACTTACTGCTCCTGATGAGGATCATGCACCTAGCCCTGTGGACCCAGACATCCCACCCAGCGCCCCCAAGGACTGTGCACCTGCCGCCAAAAAAAACACCACATTCCCCCCAGCAAACCACGCCTGCCACCCCCTTTCACCTGTCTGGTCAACATAGCTGCCCGCAGCACCCTCTTTTCTCCCTCAGGTAGTTACTGCTCCTGACCGTGCTCCTGCACCCAGCCCTATGGACCCTGACACCCCACGCGGCGCCCCTGAGGACTTTGCACCTGCCGCGAGAGAAATACCACATTCCCCGCGTGTTCAACCTTCTCTTATCTACAACCCTCCTTCTCCTCAACCTTCTTACCTCCAGCAGCTCTCAGCCTTCTCCTTTGGCTACCTCCCACAGATTTCGTGTGTGTCACTAAGCAGGTCTCGTCACCCGTAGCGGCAGGCTAATCCACACCCCCCGCCCGTTATGTCTCACATGTGGGACTAGCCACATGGAACAACAAGTTTCGCAAAACTCTCTGAGGGAGGGGGTATTGTAGTGGATACTCTCCCCTACAACTGCCGATTTGTCACTTGCCGTCCGCTTACCAGCCAACCAGCGGCAAGTTCCACAGACCAAGCCTCGCCTCGGACTGCGCGGTGATTGGCCAGTTACCGCCTTCACCTCAGCCAATCAGCAGCGCCGCTCGCCCGGCAGATGAGTATAAACACCCCAGGCTCGCCATGATCCGCCTAAACCAACTAATCGAGGAAAACAACAACACATCGCACAGATGGTGGCCTAGAAGCAGAAAAAATGATAACGAAGAACCAGAGCCTCTATATACACAATAAAAAAGAACCAAAAGATGGGCACAACTCTCCAGTCACACAAGGACCTGGAGGGACCCCACAAATAAACAAAGACCTAAATAGTTCACAAACACCAACAATAAAAAACGAAAACGAAAAAGATGGGGATCATCCCTCCAGTGCCACAAGGACCTGGAGGGACCCCCCCCCCCCATCATAATATGCCCCAAGGAAACATCAAATAGAACAACTTAGCTTAGCTTGGCTGAGACCGGCCTTCCCTAACCGCATGAGTCCTCTAATGCAGCACTGTTGACGGAAGACAAAAAACCCCGTCTCCGCAAGTTGGATAGCCCACCTGCTGTTAACCTCCTCCTCTATTTCCCACTTCTGAACTTTACCCTGTACTGTACCCTTCTTGCACCCTCAGAGCTAATGCTCTCTTCTCTCCGTATCACCGACCACCGAAGATATTTCTACTCAACGCTCTCAAGCAGACAAGACCTCCTCTCAAGCTCCTCACCACACAGCAACTCCCTTATATATATATATATATATATATATATATATATATATATATATATATATATATATATATATATATATATATATATATATATATATATATATATACCCCAGCAGAACCACCCACCTTCGCGATTCCGACTGTGATGAAGTACAAGATTCCCAAAGAAACCGAATTCAACCATGCATACGAGGTAGTGGTAGCACTGGAACTAGAATACAAGAACATCAAGTTCAGTGTGAAGCCCAATCTAGTTGGAGACCTGAAACTTTCCCCTCAAGACCACAACACAGCCAAGATCCTCAGCGAGGTCACCAATCTCAACAGGAAGACGGCCAAGATAATACGATTAGACCCCGAGGAGAAAACAACCAGAATGGTCCTAGTACGATATCCTCTGGAACTACCTGTAGAAGTCATCATAAAACATCCAAAAGTGACCAAGGCAGAGCGTTGTGTTACGACTCAGGACAAAACACAGACAAGGCAAGTGCTAGTGGACATCAAGGGGACAGTCCCAGAGGAGGTAGACCTAGGCAACTGGGGAACTTACAAGTTGCGTCCTTTTGTCCCAGAACCACTACGATGCTACAAATGTCAGGAATTTGGACATCACCAATCCAGATGCCACAAAAAAGTGAGATGTGGCATCTGCAGCCAAAGCCACAAGACAGAAATGTGCATTCAAAAACACAAGGAAGGAGCCACCACGACAGCCAAGTGCCCAAATTGTGGAAAGAAACATCATGCTTGGAGCGCATCATGCCCAGAGAGGAGAGAGCAGATGAAAGTTGCAATGGTAAAAATTCAACCACAAAACACAACAGAAGCACCTCAGAGCACATTCGTGTGGGGTCAACAGCGACAGAAAACAGTCAACCCAACACCCACTCCGCCCCAACTGTCAGAGGATTCCTTCCCTGCACTTCCTCCACCAGGCTACAGGACAAAATTGAAGACACCGGGACAAAATCAGTCCATGCAGGAAACCATGACAAATCAATGGACTCCACAACCGCAGCTCCAGAGCTGTATAGCAGTAAAAGCACAGAACACTCCAGTATTGGTGGAGAACACCATATTGCCTGGGACACTGCAACCCCCTCGGGCGACTACCCAACTGAATACACCCCAGCCTGCCAATCTACAAGCGGCATTCACAGAAGAACAAATAAAACAGAAGATCACCATTATGATAGTGACTTTCTCTACTATAATAAAGAAACAAGATACCAGCACCGAAAATATAACAAATGCAGTTATGACACAGCTCACAGAAAAGATGCAGAAAGACCAGACCCCCAAAACTCCACAACTACAAGCGGAACAGACGACGCCCTTGAGTCAGATATCAGACAAGAAGAAGAACTTGCCATCCAAGAGATCACTCAAAACCGTGAAACCTCAAGCCCCTCGCAACAGATCACGAGGAATAGAACAACAAACATAGACCGTCAGCAAACACACGATCACAGGCAAGAGCGACAGCACCCTGAAGAGAGAAGAAAAAACTCCCGAGATACCTCCAAAAACAAGCGGAATTCCACCTCCTGCTCCTCCCTTAGAGCAGGTGCCCAAGAAACAGCCACCATTCCTAACGGTCGAGGAGGAGAGCGACTCAACCATGAACGCCGAGAGCAACTACAGCACCAGCGCCGAGATAATGATAGAATAGTCCCACCTCCTTGTCATCTCAAGATAACACAGTGGAATGTACAAGGCCTCTCCAACAAACGGCATACTGTACAGTACATGCAGCAGCCATAGCTAAAAATATTGATGTCTTCATTCTGCAAGAAACCCTGATGTCCAAAGATAAACAATTCCGCTTGCCTGAATACCAACAGTACTCTGTACCAAAGGGGCCCAACTCCCATGGCAGCATCATTCTCGTCAGGGCGACCATCCCCAGTTCAGAAGTAGAACCAGTTCACTGTGGAGATGGAGAAGAGGCACAAGCTGTTCGGATACACCTGGCAAACGACAATATTGTAGTATACAATATCTATAAACCGCCACCCAAACGACTAGAAGCCGGTGACCTACTGACACAAGCAACACAGGAACTTGTGCTCATTGCTGGGGACTTCAATGCCCACCATCCAACGATCAATTCAACCACAACAATGAACCAGGATGGTTATTACCTAGTGGAACTGCTGACAGATGTTCCAGAAATAACGCTCATTAATACTGGGGAATCAACACACATACTGGGAGGAACATTGGACCTCACATTCATCTCCACTGAGCTCGTTCCAGTAACTCAGTGGGAGAGAGACAATGAACTGACCAGTGACCACTTTGCAACGACAACCACTTTGAGGATGGAGCTACTCCCTCCTCCCCCACGTCCGCCACCCAGATGGAATACCAAGAAAGCAAATTGGAAATTATATCAAGATGAACTCCAAAAATGGTATTCGAACTATGAACCAGTAGAAGATATTGACCAACTAAACCAGGACCTTACTGATGCCACACAACAGGCAGCAGAGAAAGCAATATCAAAAACAAACCCTACAAATAGACACCACAAAGACTACTGGTTATACAATGACGAAGTCAGAGAACAGAATCACAGAATCAACACATTCAGAAGACATCTCCGACAGTACCCTTCCCCTGAGGGAGTGAAACTCTTGAGAGCTGCTGTCCAACATGCTCGTCAAATTACTCAGAAAATTAGGGAAGATAAATGGCTCGAGTGGTGTGGAACCTTTAATGCACACACCAGCCTGAGTGAACTCTAGAGAAAACTCAGGATAGCAACAGGAAAACTGCCCAGAGCTCCAGCCCATCCCCAGCCACTACAGGAAGCAAATCGCTTGGCAGAGCACTTTGCAGAACGCTCGTCATCAGCTCAACTACCTCCTGAAATAAGACTTCATCTACAGGAAGTACAACTGGAGAGAGAAGTAGTAGTCAGACATGCAATTGAACAAACTGACACTACAGACTGTCTGTTTTTTATAGAAGAAATCAGAAGGGCCAGGAAAACAAGCAAGGACACCGCTCCTGGCAGTGATGGTAAACCTATTAATTGCTCAGCAATGCAGGACTTGCTGGTGAACTTGCTCTCCTAACAGTTATTAACGCATCATGGTCAGCAGGCAAACTCCCGTCAGCTTGGAAAAGAGCAAACATTGTTCCTATTCCCAAACCCAATGATCCCCAGAATTTCAGACCAATATCACTAACAGCATGCATCGGCAAAACCACCGAAAGGATGGTCCTTACACGACTCCTCTGGTAAACTGGACCACTTCACCACAATATCTTTGGATTCACCAAAGGTCTCAGCACTGCACACAGTTTGGCCGCTCTCCTGGGATCGATTGGTCAAAATAAGGCAATCGTAGTATTCCTTGATCTAGAGAAAGCATTTGAGCTGGCAAATGCACAGGCCATTGTAACCACTCTGGCCCGGAAAGGCGTCAAGGGATGCCTACTGGCTTGGATTGCTGACTATCTCCAAAACAGAACAGCAAGAGTTACCTGTCAAGGACAAGTTTCAGATCACCAAAGACTGGAAAGTGGCACACCACAAGGAGGAGTTCTTAGTCCAACTCTCTTCAACATCCTCATGGAAAACTTGTGTCGGCACCCCTTTCAAGAGGGTACCAAACTGCTATGCTATGCTGACGACTTAGCACTGATAGTAAAAGGCAGAAACCAGATCAGCAAAGTCCAAAGAGCACTAGACCTCATCAGTGAAGAATGTATGAGTCTCGGGCTCAAGATATCAATCCCAAAATCGAAAGCCATGAGGATTGGACACAATGAGCCGGTGACACAAGCGTTTCCTAGCACGACCCCATCCAGTGTTGTCAACTATCCAGTGCGACCCCAAATCATTTCACTGAAGTGTATATATATATATATATATATATATATATATATATATATATATATATATATATATATATATATATATATATATATATATATATATATATATATATATATATATATATATATATATATGTGTGTGTGTGTGTGTGTGTGTTGAAAAGTTACACACACAGTTATTTTACTTACATTTATTTCGAAACTTATCGAAGGAAAATTAAACAAGAGGGCTCAAGCTTACATATATTACAACAGCACTACTGGGG